AACAAACAAACAAAAAAAATCCACTGCAGGTTTTATTAGCAGGAGGGACAAATAAAAGGAAGAGGGTGGCAAAGCAATGCAGAGATAGTGTTGAGTTTGAAGTAAGGAAAGATACAAACATTTTGGCTGACACACCAGCAAAGTCAGCTTGGAGGAGAATTAAGGACAACAGAGGTAATCATTTACCAAGGCAGTAGTTTTCAGATGTTGACATACATTTTCAGAACCGAGGGGAAGAAAAAAACCAGGTAAGAGAAGACTGTCAGAATTATGACAACTTGCAACTTCTTTACTTGGCTGCTAGTGAGGAAAATAGACAGGAAAATCATCTGAAGATTATTCTTCCTTGAATGCTCCCATTTAATTTTCATGAGTATTAATACAGGCCACATACTGACACTGATGAGCAAAAAGATCCTTGAGGAAGGGAAGCACATGTTTCCTCGTGCAGACATCCGAACAGTTTACAGTTACAGGCGGCTCTGAACTTAAGAGTAGGAAATGAAGCTTGTATGAAAACTAGAGTGGAAGTGCGGGGCATTTAGGGTTTTGTGATCATGGTTTCATTAGACTCTAAATGCTCTTCAGGGCAGGAACACTTAGAGGAGTACAGAAATGTTTTTGACTTTAAGAAAGCTGACTTTGGGAGAATGTGATATGCCCCAAGGAATTTTTACTGGAATCCTATGAAACATGGGAAACATAGAGCTGAATTTTTAAGAAACATCTGAAGAGGCTGAAATTTAAAGCCATCCTGCTTAATTCCAAGCAGGAAAAAGGGCAACTGAGGCCAAATGCAGTTAAGTAAAGATGTAAACTTTAGTGTAAACAACACATAGAAGACTTGGGAAAATCTTATATATCTGTGTGTCTGTAGATATTTAGATACAATGAGCAGTCCTTTGGAAAGTAAACAACCTGGTAAGGAGGGATACAGAACTTCCTAGGAGTTAGAAAGAGCAGTTGTAAATAGGTAAGTCCAGGAGCACAAAGTATCTTTTGACTCTGCCATGAATTTTTTTTCCTAACCATTACATGGAGTTTCATTTATATCAGTGCTAGAATGGACTGGGAGAAAAATACTTAATTACTTAAGGCATATAACAAAAGGAAGAAGTTAGCAAGTTCGCATGCCCTTTTTTTCTTTGAAGCATAAGAGGCCAGATGACTACTTAAATATTAGCATCATATTGTGACAGAGTTTCCAGGGCTTGCTTAAAGGAAGGAAATTTGCATTGATGTATGTACATCCTCAGAGTTACAGCAACGCCAGCCTATACCAAATGTGATGCATGAACACAACCTGCAGTTCCCATCCTAGGCAAGCTGTAGGACAACGCAGAAACAGGTGGGGGAAGGAAGGGGAAGAATTCCCGGTAACACTTGCAGAACATTAGATTCAGAGAAAAAAACAACATTTACATACGGTTGAAAGATTTTTTTTTTTCCCCCTTTAAAAAAGTAACATAAAATTCCTAACTGAGAGATCTTAAGTTCTGTGATGGCAGGCCAGGTCAGTGAGGCCTGGACTTAATCTTCATTGTTGTAGGAAAGGGCAATTAAATGAAGCCAGCTCCTATAGAACTGTTAGCTTAGTATCTGCCATGCAAAAATAATAGAGGCAATTTTACTCAAACACCTTAACAGGCATAATTTGATTAGAAGCAATTGTGCAATTCTTGGAGGGAAATTTCTGCATACAAATTAATAGTAATTATCTTGCTGAAAGATAAGAAAATTAAAGACAGGCCCTAATTCTCCAAAAATTACCCAACTTCAGGGGTTGAGAGACCTGATGCTTCCAACATCCTGTGCTGCAGGGCTGCTTGTTTCCAACTGACTGAGGTGGCTCATTGAATTTCAGTTTTAACTTTTACAAGAAATTTAAAATTAATTTCAATATTATTTTTGCAAATAGATTATTTAAATCCAAGTATAGAGTAAGTTGCCTACCTACAATATTAACAGTCTGATTGAAACAAAATTAGAAAAGACTAGTGAGACAATTTCTGAAGTATCTACATTTCACAGGTGAGTAAACTGTAGTGGAAACTTATTTTTACATGCCCAGGGCAGCAAACAAGTGTAAAGTATGACCTTACTAACCATGTGCTAAAAAAGCCTGCAAAATGCGTGAAAGCGTCTTTCACAGTGTATCAAGTTCAGTATAAAAAACAAATTTGTCATGAAGGTCCTGTGAAAAATGCTGATGTTAGGGCAGAAGTAATCATTTTTTCCCAACCCTTGCAGCAGGTTAGAGTCTCCAAATACCAGTAAAAAAGGGCCAGAAAAGATACTGATAGGAATTCAATACAAGCCGAAAGAAATGATTCCGATAGGTTTGTAGTTGGCAAGAGGCAAGGAGGGAAGGAGAGATACAGGCATTAGAAGCTTTAGCAGGAACAATTCCCAAGGCCAGTAAATATCAGGGGGCCCCAACGCAGTCAGAAGCAGAGTGAAGAGATTTAGAGTCAAGGCATGCAAAGGGTCTACTTAGTTTGACCAGAAGACAGTGTCACATTTCAAGGTTTCTTCTTCAGTACAGCTAAGCTTTTCAATGGGAGGCCTTGACCCCAGGGATCACTAGCTGAAGAAAACAAATGTGTTTTCAGATGAATGTATTGGCACTGTCAGAACTGACTGTACACAAGATTAAATGATATTTATTTTCACTTTCCAGAATACCATGTTAAATTTTAGAGAGGCAGACAGACAGAAACTTTTCCAAATAAGACAGGAGAATCTGAGCATCGAATTTTCTGTGTCAGCCAGGATTGAAGAGCAGAACTCCTGTTAACTGACCTGGCTAAGCCTCCTTCCAAAATGTCAACCTGAGGCTTCATTTTGCCTTCAGTGGTCTTGGTGAGGGTGGTGGGAGGGGACACGTGCCATCAGTCTGTTTCAGTTCTCTCATTGCTTTTCCTCGCTTTCTCAGAATGGATTAGATTTTGGTCTGGCATTTTGGAACTGCACAGATGTGATTCCCTGACTGAAACAAACAGAAGTTTGCCTGCCTTTGGTAAGGAACAGAAATAAAATCAGAACTAAAACAACCCAAAAGTGATTCTGGGTACCCATTCCGAGATGCTCTAAAAAGGAAACTTTGATTGAAGGAATTGGATGCCACATCTCTTCGTAGAGGAGTTGGTCACAGTTCACCTGCATATCCCTTAAGACAAAGTTATTTCAAAACCCATTTTGTGCTTCTATCTTGATCATACTTGAGCAGCTTCACAGCCACCCTGGGTTCCACAGGAACCAAGTAGGGACTGTGTTAACCACAAGGCAAGATGGGGGCAGTGGAAGAGAGAGATGGAGCCCAAGGGAAGGTGGCCTATGACAGACCAGATAATTTCAGATAAACATAAGACGTCTACCGAGTTTATATGCAGTGCTATTTCAAGGCCACATTCTGCTCTGTATCTGAATCCATCCCTGTACTCATGTATGGATCCACTACCAATTGCATGAGCATTCCCGAGGCACCTGTGCTTATGCACTCTCCCAAAATGGGAGAGCGTATAGTAAGCTGAATTTAAAATCCAGAAATTGTGTTCCCGAAAGGAGACCAATAAAGACAGAGAGGAGACCATGGGATCACTATTTCAGCAGAAAATGTCTGAGCACATGAATCAGGTGGAACTACAGCAAGGGCTTCAGAATAGCTACAATCTACCAGAGAATTTTGAGGAGTGAATATGTATTTATTAGTAAGAAGTATGACAAAGCAGGAAAGTGGGTCGCACAAAGCACAGGCTTGTTGGGTCAAGTGTCCTGTTCCTGTTTGGCAAGGCCTTTTGTCCCTGTGTCCTCCTTATCATCCTGACACCTTACCAAAGCACAGAATGATGGACAGCTCTTAATGACTTCCTAGCGTTTGATTCCGATACACCGGCCCAGCCCTTTTTTGCATATCATGAAAGCCTCTATTCCCCTCTGAATTTCCCCTGTAAATCCCACGTCCACTTCCCCACACGCAGCTCCGCGCTCCCGCCCTGCAATCTGTGTCAGGACAAACGTGCTGTCGTCACAACTTCCTTGAATCAGGCGGCTGAAGGCAGCACCTCTGAACGGGCAGACTGGCGGCCGATGCTGCGTCAGCAGCCGCCGGGGCTGGTATCGCCCTCCCCAGGAGACATGGACATCCTCTCCCGGGCTCCCACAACACACAATTTGGGCTATTGTTCCCTCTGTCCAGAAAGCAGGCTCTGTCTTGTACCATCTCTGCGCATTGCCACCATCCTGCCTGACTTGAAACACCGTTTTTCCCCTCTCCTAGCATGCTCGCTAGGCGATTTGGGCACGGGGGTTGGCAGCTCAGTCCTGCCGGCAGCATGTGCTGGTTGAGCACCCCGGCGGACTTCACTGAGGCACTCCTGGGAGTGAAGATGTGTTCTGCAAATGAGCATTTACTGAGTGGGACCCTGCAAAGCATCTGAGAAAACAAAGCACACGTGCACTTCTAAAATGTGCGGTTTTGGTACCCTCAGTTACAAAGACCTAAGTTGAACAGGGGATGCTCGCTGGATGGAGTTGAAACACTGTCATGAAGACACAGAAGGAGGTACTTCAAAAATCAAGCCTATTAGCCTCCACCTTCCATGCTTTCCAATGCTTTCCATTCTTGCAGCTGGAGGAGAAATGACCACATACCCATTCAAGACCAGAAGGAACAACAAGTTGTTTTACATTTTGCTTTGTTTCCCACAAGGTGATGTTTCGCCCCCCTAAGCATCCCCTCTCCCATTCAGAGAGGGTGACCGAAGCGGCGGAGCATCTCTGACGGTGCGAACCCGCTCCTCCTGGGCAGGGCTGCCTGCCTGCCCGTTCCCAGGTAGCTGGCTGCGAGGGGGCCAACAAGCAGGCTAATTTAGAGCTCTAAAAGCTGGCAGCAGGAGCGCAATTAAGCCATTTTCACAGACTGCTGGCCAAATGCAGCAATTTATTGGCTGAGTGATTGGATTATTCATTTGCAAAGCTAGAAGAGGGCATTTTCTTACCACTTCAGTTGGCCTGTAGTACTTGTGATTGACTGTCACATGAATCTTGCCAGTCTCTTTGCATCGTCCTACTTCATTTTCATTCTTCCCTTCCCACCTGTAAAGAAGATAAACATTTAATCAACCCATAATTGCTTTAGTGCTCTGATCTTACCAACATTTGGCCTGCATTCATTTACTTGAGGCTGGTGTCAATTCTCCCTGCAGGACAGTATAAACTCATTAGCTATAGGAACAAAGGCAGAGTTTAGACTTGAATGGAGCAACAATGGCTTTTGAAGTCTCTTTGTTTTGGTTTTTGATTCAGCGGAAGGTCTACAATACAGGACTTCCAAATTAAACACATAATGCTAGGGGAGAATAAAACGTCCTGATTCCAGAGTGTCTCATGTATCTGCGAATAAATATGACAGTGAGGTTTTTCATTTGTGGATTCGTTCAAAGTTGTTTTCTTAAAATATTTTATTTTTGTATTTTGGCCAATACTTTCAGGAATTCTTTAATCTGTTAATTTTATGGATGTGAAGCTTTGTTTGAATAGCGTTAAGCTGCATAATTTAATTTGTGCTTAACTAGGAAAAACAAAACAAAAACAGTTCTTGAGTTTTCAGTCCTAGCTTGACATGGCACTTCACATACATGTACTGTAAACAGCACTTACTACCTGTGAGCTGAAAGCCAGCTACTCTGTCCAAATTAGTTTCATATGTGTTGAACAGTCTGCAATTTGCTGTAATTTATGTGATCTGGTTGTGCCGTGAACTATTTTTTTAGCAACTGTCCTGGTCTAAAATTTTGGGAGCAGCAGAAGAGGAATGGTTTGGGGGGTGACTAGCTCTGCTTTTGGAGAGGCCAGTCGGCAGCCTGGAAGCCTGAGGACGCTGCTCCCTCTCAAAACAAATGCTTCAGATGACATAGGTAGGAACGTACACTGGTGTATCAAACCTAATCCATTAAATGTACAAAATCCAGAGTTATGATTGAAACTTTATCTTCTCTTTGTTTTTTGCCTCTAAGTATATATCATGGGGCTATGAACCAGCTTGGCATAAAAGTGTAGTGATGAAATCCTTTACTTTTTTTGTGTTTAAGTAAAATCTATGTAATTTAAATCAGCACTGTGATTTAGACTATTTAGCCTCAGTCACCAGCAATGAAAGAAAAGCACCCCTTGCCTCCCACTTACTAATTGTACTTCCAGCTCTTGGGATTTTGTCACAAATTTGATTTCTCCTTGCTCCCTTGCCCCCCCAAAGCTCCAAGAAGAATTTAATTCTTTGACAATCTCAGCCTTCATTTTTGAGTTTCTAGCCCTGAGGGCTAAGGAGAAAAGTCGGAAAATGTGACCTCTGTGTACCCATGAATGTTAAAACATCGAAAGGCAGAAGGAAATACCAAATATGCATTATTACTAGTTTTTAAATCCCATGATTTTTAAGCACAACTCATGAGTTTTGGATGACTAGCAAAGCCTGTAGGATGCTTGATACTGGGAACACTTCACATTGAAATAATTTCCAACAGATAACAGCCACAGTGAAGTCAGCTGTTAATAGTCATGCCATGGTGCTAAAGGTGATTTATAATTTAAATTTTCTTCCTTTTTTACAGTTGCTCTGTTTGAAGCCTGAACTGCGAAGTTTTCATTCAGAAGCCAAAACTAACATTAGTCCCTCCCTTTAAAGGGCAGAGGGTAAAAATGTGCAGGACTCAAATGAGCTTAATAGAAAACTAACCGTCACCAGTAAAACAACAGGAAGCGCTTAGATCAGGAGACGTCAGCTGTTGTTGGAGGTCACCGAGCAGAGAACCCCATTTAACACCCAACAGGCTCCAGAAGGCTTGGCCGGGCCAGTAAAGACTCACTTAATGTTGCTATCAAAGTTATACAACAATAGAAATAGCTTAAGAAGGAATCTCCACCCGTTTTGTTCAGCCCGGTAATGTGAAAAGTTCACAAGGAAGAAAAAAGTACTTCTCATTGGGAACAAAGTCGCATTTGATAGCCCCACTTCTAATTACTCCTGGCACCTCGGCGCTCACAGCTGGGGACACCATACTGCTGATAAAAGAGATTGCACCGGGGCCAGCCTGACACCAGGAGCAAGGCATCCATTTTGCTAACCAATACCCCCTCCCCTCTTCCTCTAACCGCAAGGAAAGGGGAAAAAAAAAAACCAAACCCACCAAACCCCTCCCCAGTCTATAGTCAAGCTGCAGTCAGAATTGTTAACTGGAAAATGTAATACCAGATTATCCTGAAGCACAAGCGTGGTGGAAGAGGCACGGGCAACCCTGACGTTGCTGTGGTTTTAGATAGCTCCAGCCACAAGGACTACCCAGCTTTCTGCCCCTTAGCGCAGATGCCCAAGTAAGTAAGAAGAGGGTCTTGTGTAACTTGGGGGAAAGGCAAAGGATCTCTGGCTGAAGAGAGTTTAGCTAATCAGGGCTGGGCTAAATTTATGGAGGATGGGGAGTGGATCACCTCCAGCCCCCAGCTGGTGTCAAAGCCCAGGGCTTCCAGGCTGGCCTAGAGCAGGCTTTCCACAAAACGCTGGTCCTAGGGCCTGCAGGCATCGAGCCTCTACAGCAAGACCATTGCCTGCTCCACACTGACGAGGCTTCACCCTCTCGCTAAAGCAAAGGATGGGTTTGCTTTCACAGCTGATAGCATCAGCTGAATGCCAGAATGCTCTGCACCCAGAGGAGGATGCGCGGGACCACGCGTTTGCTACTGACAAAGAAGGTTTGATGCCCTCTGCACCTACGAGTCCACATCGAGTGCCTCACTGTTGGAGACAGGTGCTTTGGGATTGCTTAGGGTGACAGTCATTGTCAACTCTGGTGGACACCACTGCTATCACTGACCTCAGAAATTTCTGTAAAACTAAATTAATCACATTTCGGATGCCTGTGCAAGTTTACTTGTTTAAAAGGTTCTTCACCTCAAGAGCTTTCACACTTTGGATTTACAGAGGAATGGACTGCATTTAACTTAAGACCAATTCCATATCTACAGATCACTACTGTCATAACATTTATTATCAGCGGTGATGAATGCTCCTTTTCCTCTTCAACTCTGGAGATTCCAAGTATTTATCATTTCCTATAACTATTCAGTAAGACAACAAGCTTCACGCTATAAACACATCCACAGGTATGGGATGAAGGATGGGGTAGCCACCCGGCAGGGTGTGAGGTGGGCAGGGAAGGACACAGGGGAGCCAGGATAATCAAGGGGGGGTTGGAATAACACTGCAATGGACCAAATGGTCAGAATGGCTGTAACTGAGAAGCAAAAAAATGCAAAATACATGTATTTTTGAGGTGGTGAAGAAATCAACTAAAAATTAAACCTTTCACAAAAGCACAGATAAACTGAACAAGTGTATGCATTTTATCTCCTTTTTCGATCTTTACACAGAAACAGAACTGATAGCATTTTAAAAAATATTCAAAACCACTAGTAGCTACAGCTGCTCAGCCTCTTTACAGAAAATAAAACTGTCACGTACATGTTTTAAATAAAATATATGCAAATAGAAAATATTTTCACATTTGAAAATGAACATTAATTAAAAATAAAATATTAGGAAAACGTTGCTATTCCTCCACGGCTAACATAAGATACCATTTTTGTAGACGTCTTGGATTTGTGGCCTTATTTCTGCTACACACATAATTAAGCCGAAGCACTTCATTCTGTCCTGGCACTTTGTAAACAGCAAAACTGACACCATATAACAGACCGTTAATGTCTTTTGCCAGTAATCTTTTGCAAGGAAACTTTAAATATGACCCTTCATATGTTCCTTTGCCACCAACTCAACCACCAACCTTGCCAGCAGCTCTGATGCATCAAAGCAATCAAGGACATAGGGATTGCTTAACCACGATCTTGCGCTTAAATCTAAAGAACAAGTATGCTACCATACAGAGATGTACTTAAATTTTTTTTCAAATGCTCTGACGAATCAGGTCTTCAGTGTTTGTTCACTAAAGGAACACAGTTAAAACAATGCTATTGTTGTTGTTATATTCCCAGCATGGTCAAGCCCAAGTTTCAAAAATCTAAATTGTGACTCCTGACATTATGAGATTTTAAAATGAGCACATGCTAGGCTGCCTGTTTTTTGGTTTCTTTTTTGGGTTTTTTTTGCGGGTTTTTTTTTCAGTTCATTGGAAATCTTTTGAAGTTCTTATCCCTTTACTTCAAATTGTGAAAGTTGGTGTTGAGAAGAAAATGTTTCCTCAAAGAATATTAATGCTTCTGTGAAAATCAAAACATTCTGGAAAGACAATTTTTAGTTTCAAGTAAGTTCTATTACTGTCAAACTGAATTTTGGTGTTTTTTTTTTTTTTCTTTCAGAATGGCTTTAAAAATTCTTTTGAAGTTATTCTTTCCTTAAAAGGAGGTTAGAAGAGACACAAAGCTGACCAGAAATCAGATATTTTTCCAAACTGCATTTGTGAGAATTATTTTTATTTCATTGGGGGGGGGGGGAAAAGTTGAATTTCCCATGAAACGCCTCATTTAATTCTCACCCAGTCTTCCTACAGGAGAAACTCTCATACCTCTTATAAAGTATGAAATCAGATAATTACATTGTTACAGTCTTCAAACCTTAATTTGAGTTTTGAAACAGTAATTAGGTCTGCCTACAAATACCTTCTATCAATAAGAAAGTAATAAAAGCCTGCTTAGTGGGAAGAGGTAATTCTCCAGCTGAGGTGGGCTGAATGCCCCCCTAAAACACACAGTCTACAGTGAGAACAGTGGTAGAAGCGGTGCAGTCCTAAGCGAGGACCCTTGCTCGTGTGGGTTCACCCGGGCCAGCATTCTTCACCGACCTGGCTGGGCTCCTTTCAACCATCACCCTTCCAAGTGCCTCCAATTTCTGCATGAAATTCTGTTCCCTTCCTCCTCATCTGAAATCTTCTGATTTTCCTGAGCTGTTGAATACAACGCACTGGCCGGTCAGCACCTTTTACTGAGCAAAAGCCAGACCTGGAAACAGCAGCTGTTTTGAAGATGACTTTTGATGGCTCCTCTTCTAGGTCCCCACAGCACCATTACTAACGTACTGTTGTCTTTCCATTCTTCCAGCAATCCTTCAAATCTCATGTGTTTCTGTAATCCAACCTTCCATTTTAAAGTAAAAAGAAAAAAAACTCAAACAAAACCAAACCAGAAAAACTCTCCTCCCCCAGTTCAACCTCAGTTCAACCTTCACTGTCACTGAAGAGGCCACTGCTCCACTTCTGCTAGTAGTTCACCTCATTAGACCTTATAGCTTATCTGCAAACTTCCCCTTTTAGGGTGATCTTTTGTACGACTAACTGGCACGTTAGTTAAGATAAAGTTTGTATGTAGAGCCAAATGACTAAAGTATTCATTTTTACCGAATTAATTCTGATCCTGGAAGCAATGAATATTTCTGTAACAAATGTGCATGTATTTTTATATTAATAAAAACCACAATAAATCTTCCCACTGCTCAAACAGTTTTTTTTTTCTTTTTTTTTTTTTTTCTTTTTTTTCTCTCCACATTTGCAGACAGCAGTCTTTGTAGCACTCTGCAAAGAACTCTGAGTGCTGTAGTGGTTTCAGGCTATCTTTGCAATCCTGTTCTAATTTAATAAGATTAATGACAGAAAATTAGTCAAGACAAGCATTTGCCTGTTTCGTTTACCCTGCTGTAGTTCAAATTATAGGCGGGAAGTGTTTCCCCCAAGTACTATTTAATTAGTAATAAGTAGAAGGGAAAGTAAAAGAAAAAAAAGTGTAATCCGTACAAGGGGAAAATATTTGTAGCTCTGAGGCTTTCCTGTTAGTACAAAGGACTGAATTTGAATGATTCAGAGGACTATATAAATATAATTTGAAATTTCTCCCTTGAAAAAGAAATGTTAGAAGAAAAAAACACACAAGGTAGATAAACCTCAGTGTACACCTTACAGTCAATTTCAGAGAGAGAATCAGTCTTGTTGCAGCTGTACCATTTCATTAGTTACAAAAATGTAGTAAAGTTTCTCTCTCTCTTATTTTGGCTAGAAGACATAGTCCTGACATGTGCAAATGACTGGCTATGACGGAGTATTATGTTATCTTCTTGGAAAGATTTTTTTAGGCTGTCCTGGATTTTGAGCTGCACAAGGTGATGTGGATTGTTAGGAAGACAAAAACAAAAAAAGAAATCTTTTTAGTTAGTTGCTGGGGCAGTCAGGATTGCTTTTCTTCCTGTCCTCTACTGCAATCTCAAGATGTGACAGCTAAGACTTGCTTACATTTGCAACTCTCCCTGACAAAGCACGAAGTAGGGATGGTTAAGAGCCCCCCACATGTGCCCTGTGTTCTCAGATGTGCGATGAGGTCTGCCAACTGCTGCTTGCCATGACATCCCTCCCGGCCAGTCGCTCCATCGTTCCATCAATTTTGAAAGGCGCATTGAACAGCAGTACTGAGAAGCTGTGCCATCACTTACAGCAGTGGGAAGGGCTGCTGCAAATTTCCCAGAAAAGTTTTTGAGATTGCAAGATTTCGTAATACCTGTAAAAAAACCCCCAAACCACCAAACAACACAAAAACTCAACCAGACTTTGAAGAAGGGAGATAGGAAGAAAGCAGCCCTCCTGGCAGGAACGTAGCAATTTAGCAATTGCACTCTGGTGCGCTGGTTCTTAGGTGCCTCATAAATTGTAAAGAAACAGACCAACGGGACTCACCAGTGGGGTCCCACAATGCTAAGAGGGAGGATTTTGCTGCCAGGCTACTCCCTGAAGATGATATATTCAAACTGGGGGAGGTGGGAGTAGAAAGCCCTTGGGGGTTTTGAAGAATGTGAGAGGTTACCAGCCGGCTGGCCAAGAAGCCAGCAAGGGCATGGAGAGACCGTGTGTGTGCTGCAAAAGCATGGGCCGAGCTGACACCTAGTAAAATTATGGAGGTTCTTAACAAAACTTTCCAAATCCTGAGAAGTATTTTACATCTAGTGCAATTTGAAAGATGAACGATGGCTATGGGATGAGTAGTGGGTCTGTTGTGACACTACCCCCGCCCTGGGAGCAGGGGGAGCGAACGGCCGGTTTATCTGGCTAGACTATATCTAAAATGATCAGAATTACACCATTGTCAAAATGATCAGCAACGAAACTATCATTAGCACCTAAAATGTCACCTCAGTCCCCATATGAATAGACATTTATATGTCACCTGTAAATGGCTTAAGGAATTAATAACTTATCCGCAGTGAAGAAAAACTACAGAGGAGCCGTGGGGATTAGCAGCCAAGCCCCCTTTCTAAAGTGATTTAGGTTCCTCAAAATCCATGTCACTAGATGTCATGTGGATTCTTACACAATTTTTGAAAATTACCTTTACTGATTAGTAAAAAAAGTGCAACTGTGCCTTTGTACACACAAAATACCTGCTACCTCATCACTTGGAGTCATACTGTAAAGTTTCCCTGAGAGAGAAACTTGTGGCTGATTAATTCAATCCAAACACTGACCGCAGTGACCACCAACTTGAATAATATGCAGTCCAGCATATGGAGCCATATGTGAGCAAAAAATTAAACAAAAGGGACACAAAATGTTGTGTGTTAGGACCAACTAAATCCAAAATAAGGTTTTAATAGCCTTTCTATAACAGAAGCTTTCATAAAAGTATTTTCACTTCTATTTCTGCAATTGTTCTTTTCTTTAGGTTTTCTTGAGGGTTTAATTTGCTTTCTGAAAAATACATGCTGATTTGTCCATCTTGGGAAATGCTGAGACTTCTTTGGCCAACATCAAAGCAGGGAGTTTAAAATTAGACTAATAGATAAATTTATTGACATCAGAAGAAATTGCAAATAAAGACATTCAGCTAGATATTGCTCTACACATTTCAGTTTCTTATTTTAGGTAATAAATAATAAAAAAAAGTTGTTCACCAAACATTCATTCTTGCTTTTGCAAACAACACTAGACAGGGGCAAAATAGGTCTCAAAATCACAAGAATTCTTACTTACATGGAGCAACTGAATCCACAGCATATTCGTATCAATGTTTACCAGAGAGAATTAACTTATAAACACAAGAAGCAAAAGTATAGAAAAAGGAGAAAAAATAAGAAAGACAAAGCAATTACTAGAGCTCCTACCACCTCCTGTTCACCTTGTCAAACCTCACTACTGTTAGGTTATCATATGGGACAGTGCGTGATCATACAGGGACGTCTCGCTATCAAGAGATGCTAAAAATACAGAGAGAAGCTTATTCCCAAAACTGAGCTTTTGGGCTAGAAATTCTATTTATACAGTTGCTCTCTTCCCCATCAGATTTTTTTCTGGAAGTTGATGCCAAAAATTGAAACCAGACTAAAAACTCATTGAGAAGAAAATGTTATTACCTCCCCAGCCACCCACTGGCTGTTCAAATAATATTGTGTATATCTGTGCACTTCTGCATATTTATTGAATTTGTCAAGTTTTTGTTCCCAAGTAAAACTTATTGGCCCTGTCAAAAGTTCACCAGCTGCACAAGTGACTTTGATGGCCTGAGGAACAGCCCTGGCGCTAGCGTCATGGAAGAGCCTGTGGCTTTCCTCTCCCTTTTCCAGCTGAGATTGGTATGTTGATGCATGGGGCCCAGGGAAGATACAGAAGGAGGGAAATTGAAAAAATAATAAACAATAAAAATATAAATTACAGAAAGCGCTCACCAAGCCATCCTGGTTTTATTATATGGCCTTGAGAAGGAATTTTGTATTTTCAATCAAACTATGTGGAATATGCATTGTAAACATTCTGCACCCACTGCTTAACTTTTTTATGGCTTAGTAGGAGAAGAGCTAATAGGAATGTAGAGTGGGTTGCTACATAATCCTTGTGGCGTGGCTGATGGGCTGTCACGCAGAAAGGACAGGGTTGGCAGGTGTCACCTCTTGAGATCGCAGAGGATGAGAGCAGGACTATGGGGATCGGGGGGCACAAAATAGAGAACCGGGCAGAAAAAAACCCTTTTTCAGCAGGGCGATGAACATCACCTTGGTACTAACATCTTTGGGAGGGGCATCTGTCACCCAATGGGGAGCGAATGGGGGAACAGAGAATGAAGATTCGGAATAAAAAATTAAGACGTACCCACCTACATTTTTTTCTTATGATCTGGAGGGCAACTCTAGAAATATCCACTGTGGCAGTCATTCATGCCCAGAAGGTCTCATATGTTACAAAATTAGAAAGCAAGGGAAAAAAACAAAAGAACGTAAAGAAACAATACTCTGTAACACAGCAAAGGGAACAGGATAGAAATGTTCAACCTGTGGCTGCTTGTCTTATGTTCATACTTACACAATGGTTTTCCCGATGTGCTTAAATGACTTCTCCACAAATTCACGGACGCTATGGACCTCCCCAGTGGCTATGACAAAGTCCTCGGGCTCATCCGTTTGCAACATCAGCCACATGGCCTGCAGAAAGACAAACAAAGTCAGATTCAGTACACGTGTAAGCGGCCTCTTTGGCACATGATATTATATTACTGCATTTTTGATTGGAAATAACTACACATACACAAACATACCCCAAGCTGGGGAAATGAGCACTTTCCTAACATGGCAGCTATTAACCAGTTCAGTGCAACTCTGAAAAGAGTTCAATTATTTCTTATTATAGAAAACAATGCTGTATTTGATTTTCAATTTGTTTCACAGCAGGGTTTTCTGCAGGGGAGACTTTAATATGTTTACTTTTGAACACTGAGACTTGGTTTAGTGCTCAAGACTATGGATTCACTTGTTTAAAGCACTGCAGGAATTGACGTAGATATGGGGAAAAGAACAAAATCTTGTAGATGTTTCAGTCCAGAGTCTGTCTGTTATAGAACAATGACAAACACACCGAATCAAGAAAATATGGGTCCTTTTGGCTCCTTCTTCTATCACGTTTATTTTGGCTAAGTTGAGATTTTCATTCAGAGTAACTAATTAAAAAGGTAACAAAGAATAGTCAACAGCGTATCTGACCAAGTTAATCTGTTTTTCCTTCTGAATATCTGCTGAATGTTACATACTAAAGCACCATAGCAGAAACTTTTTCTTTTGACACAGGAACACAGCAAACACTGGTAGAAAAGCGAGACAACCATTAACATCTCCTTCAGAGAGCCATTTGCGCAGCAGCAGAAAGTGCAATAGGTTTTGAAGCAAAACGTCACGGGATTGTTGAAATATTTGCTTTTCAGGGGAGCAGGTTTACTTCCCACAGCAATGTCTTCCACGGAGTCCCCTCCCACAAACAAGTAATGATGGATGAGCACCATCTCAGAGGGCTGGCCAGCTAGGTCAGCATGAAAGCAGGAAAGCAGATGGAAAAAGAGGCATGCAGAGACACATGTGACTTGTCTGAGCTATCAGGGCAGGTACATTTCAGTTTTCTGACGTGCAAGCCGCTGCTCTAGCAACTGGACTATTTGACTGCCGAGGAGCTGTAGGTGGACAGAATAATTATTACTTTAGATCAATCAAAATGATCTAAACACTTCACTTCCTTTGGAGAGGAAAAGGGAATACCTGTATGGCATGATCCTCATTTAATAAATAACCAGAAAAGGAAAACAAAATAATTCAACTTTCTCTCCATATGGTAAAAAGGACTGTCATCCTCTCACAGTGTAATCCGCAACGCTATTTGCATTGACCTCTTCACATCAGCTTTAAAGAAAACAACTTTAGTAGGTCCCTTGATGGTAGTGGATACTCTGCAAATCAGATTAATAAAAGCTTTGGGACAGCTCAGTTTCTCTTGGTAAATACCACCTGAAATATTCAATTTTCCCCCCCTATTCTTAATAAATCAGTGTCCAGCATAGCAAGGCGATACATTCCACTTAAATGGTTCTATTTGCAAGTCATTTTTCTTCCCAGTTATTATTTTATGCATCTTCCAAAGTTTTGACAAGATTTTATTAACATGTTCCTTTTGAACCTTTTTGCTCCTTGAACGTGCGTGGAAGGCTGGGTTTGGGGCAACTGCTGTGTGAGTCCTTGACATTAATTGTGCTTTAGGGATATGACCTGCTGGGCAGGACAATGGCAGCAACATTATTTTTCCTTTCCAGGGTTGAACATCCTAGCCAATGACGCAGAAATACCCGACTGGCTGATGAAACTCCTCTTGTGGGGAGGAGATGTCTTAACTCGTATCTCTCACACGAGCTTTCTTGGAACATTGGGGTTTCCCTGCTGATTTGAGAGGTCACCATAAATCACCAACTCCTGTTTCTTCGTGTCTGGACAAGCTTGCAGAATTCACAGTAGCAGCAGCTTCACAGAAAGGTAAAAGGAATATCTAAAAGAAGTAATTGATAGTTCTGTTTCGCCCAGCTTAGTCCCTGATTTCCCAGACCTTCAGCGTTCATTAAGCAGCCCAGCTGACAACAACAAGCTTCCTCATACGAGGCGGCAGTATTTGAGTGAATAAGGATTTCCAAGATTAGACAGTCAGAGTCAGAATTTATAGCAGTCCTCCTCCTGGCTTTAGCGGATGTTCGCTGTACATAATGAATTCAAATTCTCGCCTTTGTTAGAAACGTACACAGCACCGTAGTGTCAGTTGCATCTGGCAGAGATGTAACCACAAAACCTCATTTATTGGTAAAAATCACCCCCCACTGCCAAATGCCACATAGGTTGACTGAATACACAAGATTAGCGCCAGGACCTGTTATTTACTATGCGCTTTTGTAAAGTAGTATTAACATGTGTCAGTAGGAGCAGGATCAGACTTAACGATAATTTTTTGCCATCCCTCCGCTTTTAAATACCTCAGTATTGTAACTCATCGGACACAATTTTAGTGTGAGTGCTTATGCTGAGACATTGAACAATCCAGTGAATATTTAAAATACTTACACGTTAATTTTGTGTATTAATATAAAAATGTGTTGAGTGTTTCTCTTTAAAAAAAAACATGCACTACATTGAAGGAGACAGCTACAAAATACTAACAAAACCCTAGCTTTCGACAATTGGTCCCACCAAGTTTTATGCACTTGGGTGTATCAACTCTTGTCTACCATTTCAAAGAGCAAGTAATCACCATCTTAGAAATACAACTTAAACTGCAGGAAATTTCTACAGGATCAACTTAGCAGCGATCAAACAATGCAGATAGAGTGGCTAAAAGCAATTTTTGCCTCAACTCCTACCAGGAAAGAATGTGTAGATTAATGATTACTTGAGAATCTATAACTGCCGGTTCTTTTATTTTTTCTGGCATTCACAATTGTTGGCACCTACAATTACCTCAATCAAATCAGGTACGAAAAAAATGAACATGATAAAAATGACAAACAAAGTAAGTGATCATTTTATTTTGCTTTGAGGAAGGCGACCAAATGATGTCGCTTTTAATGGGTCTGCATAAACAGTCAGTAAAAAAATGCAACGGCAAGCCAGAAGATAGACAAATCTTTGAACAAGCTCCACATTAAAATCTTTATTTCCACAGGTACAGCCCATGACACAACCAATGAGAAATCTATGTACAAGCAGTAGCTATATGCTTTCCTTACAGCAAGTGCCAGGAATGTGCTTCCCCCCACATCAAACTAATAAAGGCCCCTGACCTATCAATTTCTAGGCATTTCCTTTAAGAGTTCATATTGTACCAGACTCTGGGCTGAGAATGAGAGGAAAGGGGGAGATACAGCTCCAGGTTTATTTGTCATTACTGAATGGCTTACTGGTTTTAACAGAGGGGAAAAGCTTTGTTTAAATTTCCACTGAAAGTAATTAATGGTTATTGACTGGCAAATGAAGAACAGGTGACACTCCGAATTAGAAGATAAATGATCTCGTGTTCTAGCGTGATAATGGGTTAGTAATTGCTACAAAGCCTCAGCCTAGTGCGTCCCATCATAATGCTAGATCATGTCCAGAACACAAAGGCCTCTGTGTGAGAGGTATTCAGCCGTTCACCTCCCGATACAGCTGCAGAGTGATTTGCTCCATTTATTCTCTGATGGACTGCACAACTGAGGCAAAAGTTCACCCATTCTCACCTTCCTGTTCACATGCTGAACCACATGACCCATGACATGGCTGAACTGGGATAAAAACATCGCTCCGCTTTGGCTCTTGGCTATCTTTTAACCATCGCAAGGTCATATATTTTAGGAATTTTTCTGCTGCAGGAATGGAGAATCGTAGATTTTCTGTAAAGGTTTTTTTGGATGGGCTGACAGCAAGTAAAGAAATTCCTTGTGGTCAGTTCTGCCACCCTCTCCCTAACCTTTTGCTCAACCCAGTTAACAAAATGTGGGCAAATATTGAAAAGGAGGAGAAAAGTACTATGGAAACAATTCAGGCTTCGTCTCTCTTGGAATGATACCGTTTCTTTAATGGCAAATGTAACAAAACATATTTTTCATATTTGAACTCTTCTTGGCTTTGGTCTAGTGACTCACAAAGTCTAAAGGCAATACTATGTCATTTACATTTAAAGACAGAAACCTAACCGGAGAGACATACGTAGTAAGTCTAGCAAGCGGACACACTTTTATGATTATGTTGACTAGGATATCTGTTCTGCATGCCTGAACTACAACCTCTGCCAAAATCTTTCCTCTTTCATCTTCCCCCTCTTCCTTTTTCTGTATATAAACCCCTGCCAGTAATAAGCACCATTTTCAAGCAACATATCCAAAACATGAACCCGTCTTCTCCTTGACCAAATTTCTTTGCTTACATAGTGTTTGCACCTGGGCTAGTGAAGGGGAAAACCCAAGCTGGACTAACACAACCCCCATATAGGTGCCCTTATGGCTGTGATGTGTCTGCTTGTCTTGAGCATCTGGAGTATGTTGTAGATGTGTTTCACCATTAACTTCCAGTCCAACCTCCCAGTGACTTTTTATTTATTAACAGGGCTGTCATCCATGGATAACAAAAACTCGGTAGATGAGGCTATGTTTAACTGTATATATTTGATATTTTTCTTTCACTGTCTGCCCCAGCACTGTATGTTGTTAAAATGGGCTCATAATCATATATCTGCCTATTTAAGAGAAAAAAAGAAGTACAAATCCAACTTTCTGAGGCTTTAAAGTACAACCGATCATTTCTGCTCTAGAAATAAAAGATGATTTTTCAAGAGAATGAGTAAAGTCTTTTCTTATGTCTCATCCAATGCAAGACCCAAACCAGATCTTTCTGAACAGACAGACAATGTGATAAGTAGAAAATGTTTCTGTTGGTACTAATTATTATTACCCTGCACTGCTACATGGCATTTTTTTCCAAGCCCTGTAATGTAAAAAAAAACCAAAAAAAACTTTTGTACATATTTCTAGGTATTATGCAGAGAACTTTTGACTTCTTTGCATTTGCCGCACACACACAAAAAAATCAAACCAAATCAGTAACGTTTACTTTAGGAGATGGAACAGATAGTTGTAGCCTGATGCAGG